TGATCGATTTGGCTGAAATTTGGTGTGTGGTCATTGCTAGCCCCCCTTAACATCCTCTGGTAGAGGGAACTGGTAGAGGTACGAAAGTGCAATAGCGCCGCCCTCTACTTCTCCGTTGATGCCACAACACACACTATTTAACATAATGAACCAAGGGATTATGTATAAAATGTAACCTTTCCCTCCCTCAAACACTTTAGTATTAATATAAGGAAAAAAATTGTTTGTGTTCTGCATAATTTCGTAAACCCCATGGTCCTCCCATTTACTTGCTTGTATGATAATATTATTTTTATCATTTACACGTTATTTATCTAAGATAAATAATTATTTTCCGACATGTCTAATAAGTTAATACTGATAAAACACCCATGAGACGGGGTTAACATGGGCTAAGCCTGTTCAAAAAATCCCATTCAGATATCCTGAATAAATATATAGTTAAAAAAAATAGATAAAAACTCGGATGAAAAATTACCCCCAAAAATGGATATTGAATATATATTTACTATGTGGCGTGACATTCTGTTTACGAAAGTAGATAAAGCCAACCTTTGTTGTGCTTTACTGTTGACACAATGATCCAAATAATAATCTAAAATTAGTAAACTAGTCGACGTATGTTTAATCTTTCGAAAAAAAAAACAACCCAAAAAAGAAACAACAATGGTATAGAGAGAGAGAGAGAGAGAGAGAGAGAGAGAGAGAGAGAGAGAGAGAGAGAGAAAAAATGGGGTTTAACGTCCACTCGACACAAACTAGGTCATTTCGGGACTAACATATGGTTTTAATTTTATTTAAATAATTCGCTTGCGCGTAGGGGTCTTTTAGCAGTGGGGGGGGGGGCGGAGGACCCGGAGAAAACCCACGAGGTTGGACAGGCGACCCTACTCCTTGCCACGTACAACCGGGGATTCGAAGCCACGCCAGTCGACTCAATGACAGACTTTATGATACAGCGCGGCACGCTAACCATTCAGCCCCCCCCCCCCATGTTATAGAATATGTCCCATTTCTCGTTCCCAGGATGTAACACTATTTGGTAATAAATTCATCGATACGAGGTTTTTATGACATAGGTTATCAACTTGTTATTATCTAATATCGGTTAAATTTGAAGGCCACGTTTCCATGATGCAACACAGATTTAGTAAATCAATTCATCGTGAAGAGGTTTTTTTTCTTTTTTTTCTTTTTTTTTGTGTAGCACAGATTTATCAATGTGTTATTATCGGTTTGTAAAATGTGTAACATCAGCTCAATTTGAAGGCTTCATTCCCATGATGCAACGTGTTGGTAGCATCAGTTCAATTTGAAGATCTTGTTCCCATGATGCAACACTATTTAGTATTTTATCTTTTATAGTTTATTTGTGGAAGCAGACTTTAAACACCAATCAGCCAGTCATTAACAATTCAATACTTTTTGGGGCCATGATGTCGTAGTAAGTAAAGAGGGGATATTAATAGTGCATTCATGTACATATTTTGCGTTAGCAGTCTGATTGTTTATTTTGGAAGGTTCTATACGACACGGATTAACTATACACTGGTGAATTACTATCGTAAATGAATTAATAATCATTAAAATGGAATAAACAAGTGACACAAAATTCAAGCGATTATGTCTGTCTTAAACACATTGCAATCTTTTTAACTAAGCCGTCGCCACTGCACATCTAAACATTTCAAAACTTTAGGTCATTGTTGTGGACATACCAAGTCTCTACTGTATACATACATGCAATTCCATCAAGATTTCGGTCAAAAATACCCAATATTTCGATTCGGGCTATGCACCTTTACTCCGTTTACCTAGATACATGCATTTGAACTCTCACTTAAAAATTGCTCGGACGTTGTTAATGCACGCTCGTGAAATGAAACTTAAGCTTATTCTAAGTTTGTGTCAGTTCTTGGATCTTTGATAATTACAAAAACATACCATCTGAAAACGGGACGCCAAATTTATAGTCAACGGTTTTGGCTCAAGTCTAGTATGCAAGGATACCCAAAACCTAGATATATTTGAAGATCTATCAACTCCCAGAACCTTCTGTTTGAGTCCTATCGCAACCTTTAAGAACCACTTCAGAAGAAATGAAATGAAATGACATGGGGTTTAACGTCCTACTGTTCTGCTCCTATACAGGGCTAATGAAGACGGGCATACGCCATACGGTGTATCTATGAGAGAAATTTTGCCCGAGAAGCGGCACTATTGCCTACCCTTATATCGAATTCCAACTGCCAAGGGATCTTTTACGTGCATTCCAATGTCTCATACGAAGGACTAGACAGCTGTCCTTGTCGGGGTCTCCGTTCTGCACCACTGACAATGGGAAACCACGTCGGAAAATTAAGATGAACTTTCTCGGCCAATGCAGGGATCGAACACCCGACCTCCAGGCTAGCGAGCCAGCGTCTTAACCACCTAGCCACCGTGGCTCCCCACTTCAGAAGATGTCTAACAAGGCGGTGTTTAAAATATATAATATTGTAATACTTACCACATAAATTATATTTAAATAACCGGCAGCACGTTTGTTGGAATCTACTATATTATCTATAATCATCAAATGTAACAAGTAAGCACCATAGACTAATCTAGAGAGTGGTATCCAAAAATTCCATGATAATATCGTATTGATGAAACCTACAAACAAAATAGATATCTATTGTCTTAAAAGAGTCAATAATGGCGTTTATGGCGTCTCCTACTCCGGTTCAAATCTTATCTGTCTACAACATGTGTAGCATATTAAACATAATCCCTTTTGGAAAATGTTTTATTTGGATGCAAATTGCGAAATAAGTATCATTTTAGATAAAATGTATCCTCACTCATCGATATAGGACGGATAATAAATATTAAATACATTTAAATACTACATGCCTCCCACAATTCCTACCACCTATTAACACACTGTCTTGACTGTAACACCATATTACTGCGTAGCAGAGTAGGGTCTTGCTAGGGCAGTTGTTTAGACAAAAGTAATAAAGGAAAAGAAATGGGGTTTAACGTTCAACTTTCCTGCACCAACTGGACTAATGTCGACGAGCATACGACATGGTGCGACAAGGGATATTTTGCAACCTTGTCAGTGATGCAGGATGGAGGGCCTGACAAGGACAGCTGTCTAGTCATTCGGATGAGACGAAAAACCGAGGTTCCGTGTACACATTGGCGTGCACGTAAAAGATCCCTTGACAGTTGGAATTCGATATAACCGTAGTGCCGCTGTCCGGGCAAAATTTCCCCTCATAGCACACTGTATGGCGTATGCCCGTCTTCATTCGTCCAATTCGGAGCAGAACAGTAGGACGTTAAACCCCATTTCATTTCATTTCAAGGGTCATATTACATGGATACCAACGTATATGCTGGACCTCGTTTTTTTACACAATCCGAAGAACTAGAGGCACGGTTCATTATGAGGACCTCTGAGGTAATTACTGAGATCGGGGTTGACGTAGGCAGACGTAGACGAAAAGAAGGTAACAAAGGTCTACCATGTAATACGGACATTTTCAAATTGCAACGCGTTTTAACACCATATCCTTCTTCGTGAAATGACAATGAATTGTTTATTGGGTAAAACGGAAACATATTTTTTGTGTGTTTTGTAGCTGTAAAATAATATCTGAATTGTCATTTTATATAGCGTATTTCTACTTATGATTAACGTAATCAAGTAATGAAGAAATATGCAGCACGTTTTAACATCCTATCTTCCCCCTCAATTTTCAGGGAAGGGCTGAAAAGGAGTAAGGTATATTTTGTGTGTTTTGGAGCTGTAAAATAATATACAAATTATCATTTTATTTGGCGTATTTCTACATATGATGAAAGTAATCAAGTACTGCAGAAATTTATAACGCGTTTTAACATCTTTCCCCTCCATTGTCAGGGATGGGCTTAAAAGGATAATAGTAATTTCAGAGGTCCCGAAACTAGTTAAACATACATTATGCAAGAGCAAAATCTGATTATTGCAAGTCCTAATTTAGGCTTCAGATGTTATAGAAATTATAAATTAGATCTTTATTTAAACAACAAGTCCAAAATCAACCCTGTAGACCCACGGATGACTCGGCTACAGCTCGGATTTAAATAGGATTTCACTTATCAATTAATTCGAATATGGCGCATCCTGATGAGAATACGTCAGTTAGATCGAGGCTAAATGATAGAGTGTACTTAGCGAGGCCGCTGTAGAGCGTTTCCGCATGCCATTGAAAACTTTACTTGATAATCGAGATATGTAGGTGGAGTTAACGCCTGTCAATCAAACGATCAGCCACGGTGAAGGCACATTTCACTACCATTTCTAGCCAAATATTACAACGATGATAACTATGTTCAGAATAAAGTAATTTGACTGAAATTTTCAAAATATTCTTCTTTCATCATCTACTTTTGAACTGTTATAGCAAGAATGGCCAATTCTCTGTAAAAATCTCCCATAATGTATCTTTAATGTTTTTGCTTAGTTTGGAGTCCCATTTTAGTCATCAGTTGGCGTCGTTTTCAATGAATTGCTAAGGTTGCCGTACGTTAAATTTGTGCTTAGCTAGAAACACCAAGATATACTCTATAAAGCATTATTTGCAGGCTGTTTTTCTACAAAAAATTGTGCCTGTTCAGAGAGAACCCCATCTGGCCCCCACCTTCATACAGTGGGAAACCCCCACGGAGACCCTGGGGTATCATTAGGACCAACAGTAACCACAGGTTCATTTCTGCTTGTTCTTTTTTGTCTATTGTCCATTGCTGATGAAAAACAGTAGTGTTCTGGCAATCATAAGAATTTCAGAAATGAACATACAGAAAAACTGATGTTTCTATGGTATGTCGTGGTGTTTCAGCTTATGCACTAATTTTATATTTGACAGTCCTATATTGAATTCTGTAACTTTTAAAACTTTATTTATTTAGCGATATCCACAAGAACAAAAGTCCCCATATTGGATTCTATTTTCATTGTCGTTTTAAATTTACCCCATCTGGGATATTCATATAAGACATAGTACAAGTCATATCTAACGTTAGCCCAGTTTGGGGCAGAACAGTAGGACGTTAAACCCCAACTCATTTCATTTCCTATCTAACGAAGGTAAAAGTTTTAATGACGATTAATTAAAATTTCGCCGTTTGGGATTTCATTGGGTTGGCGATTTTGCATTTCTGCCATTATGGATTCTCGAATTTTATTTTTGGAGGTCAGAACTGAACCCAGTGACACCAAAAACCAAAAATGACAAGTTACAAGTCATATTCAACAGGATAAAATGACGATTAACTTAAAAGCCGACAGCATAGCAAAAGGTTATATCTTACGAGATCCTCGCTGTTTATATTGAGGAAATTCCATTTTATTACTAAATTTGGAAGCCATTTTGAAAGAAATAGCTGGCTGGCACCATGTGAAAAATACATTTTTTGAAGTTTGTTTTGGTCCAATTCGTTTGTTCATCACAGTTCGCCCCCTATCACTATAATTTGTGTTTGACGAATTTTAAGAAAATGTTATTCTCCCACCTATAAAACACAATTCGTTTTTTTCAGCGCAGTTCGCCCCCTATCACCATTTGTGTTTGAAGAAATTTAAAAAAATGTTATTCTCCCACCACTAAAACACAATTCGCTTTTTTCAGCACAGTTCGCCCCCTATCACCATTACGTGTTTGAAGAATTTAAAAAAAAAACCACTTGTTCAAGACCACTATCCCGATTTGAACAGAATCCCAAAAATAAAAGCCCGAGTAAGTATGAAAGTTAAGCGCCAAAACATGGAGGAATGGTGTATTTACCTTGTCTCAAAATTTCAGCTCAAAGTTTTGAGTTGTTTGGATGTGAACGTCAAAACACTTTATAGATTTCGAGTCATTTTTTCGTTGGGTGACCTGATAATCCGATATCGATTCCCGTTCCTTGAGAGGTCTATACACTGATTGACCCATGTGCCGTACTTGATAACGAAAGGTAAATTTCACCTACACATTAATTTTATTAAAGAAAGGTCTGGTTTTATCCAGACACCACATAATACAACTTGGAACACCGGTCTCCATTTCCAGATGAAAACTGACGTTTTAAGTTGTTTGAAAACGTATCACAAATATTGAGTTATTTGCTCGATCGTTTGGCAGAGGATTTTAAAGGATTTTAACACAAAATCAAGCAGTTTTATTCTCCAAAAAATTACCGGGATTGGCCGAATTTGAGTATGATGTTGTCAGACATACCTATCATTGAACCAAACTGTATTGGTTTCTTTTGCAATTTGTTTGGAGTTAAATAAATAAATTTACATTAATTATACAAAAAATAGTCGACCATGATAGAGATCTATGAGCAGAGCAATGCAAATATTTGACATTAATTTTTATCATTTAATCCACGAGTTTACATGTAGGCTGTTTATTTAACCTTATCTTATCTTTAGGTACAAATTATTTATATAGGTATATAGAACAAATCAGTATTGCTTAATAACAAGTTAAAAAAAAAACCGGTGAATTATTGAGCTATTGAAAAATCAGTGCATAAATTTTGCCTTAATTCATACATATTTCATATGTATTTATACATATTATGGACTATACGATACACGTGAAATGAGGTTAAACGTTTGACTTTTCTAGACCAATCACCACGTATTATGTTATGAGGGAAAGTATCTCTTAACGACGACGCTATCGTCTGCTCGATAATCGATTTTTAGTGGTGTACAAGGGGCGAACGATTAGACGATTTTCCCTACCAGCCTACATGTCCTGCACCATCGACAAGGGACGGCTAGGTGGGAAAACCTAACAGAGGTCAGACAGAATATAAGTGTTTCCAAGAATTTTGTTAAAGAACACAATTACCTCCTTGTCCATTGACGCATGTAAATATAACCCATGCTACACATAAAGCCCATGCTGGTCTGAAAACTGTTTCGTGAGCTATCCTGGCTTCTATGGGCCAATCTTTATCATCTTTGTGTGCCATATAAGTAACATAATTGATCGTTATTCCAACAGCGAAGCATAAAAACCAACCGAACAATAAACCACACTGCAAAACGATAAATAAGAGACTTTAAATTGACAGAAAATATTAATTCACAATGTTTAAAAAGCAACGATTCCACAGAATTAAGGATCAAAATAAACATGAACTTCAAATTGAAATATTACGGATTAAGGTCACACTAAACAAACATACCTTTTTAAATCGATATTTAGCTTTTGTTTTTAAAAGTATATACCCCAATGCCAAGCCAACAGCATAAACACCTATTCTGCTCCATGGGTTCAGATAAACTTTGTCCATATATTCTTGATTGTGCCTGCAAAATGAATTTGAAATTGTGCAATTATGACATTTATTTTAAAATTCTAGGAACCTTCAACAGCTCAATAAAATTTTCATCACAATCCAACCAAGGAAAAATGGAATTTGGGAGATCATCAAACTTTTTAAAATCGGCCCTTAATTGTACCCTTATCAAATATTCAAGAATTGTGCACCCCTGTCCCGATAGCTATGTGAAACAATTTTACAATCATCAGACATATTAAAGAATTTATTAAAACGTACCACAGTTGTGAACCACTGTCTATAACCCATTCAAAATAACCATATGTAACAATATGTGTAACCATCATCAAAACTATTATTAAAAATCCAAATACTGTAAATCTGTTGAGGAAAACGAAAAAAAAAAGATTATAACAGAATAGGTTTATAATACATGATATGGTTATTAGAAATGATAGGGTAATAATAACATAGTAGCTTTATTATAAATGATAGGGTAACAATAACAGAGTATGTTTATTATGAATCATAAGGTAATATAAATGATAGGGTATAATTATAAATGAAATGGTTATGATATGGTTATATGGTTATTATATATATGATATGGTTATATGGTTATTATACATGATAGGGTTATTATAAATAACTAGGTTATAATAAATGATAAGGTTATAATAAATGATATGATTATCATAAATGATAGGGTAAATATAAATGATAGGGTAAATATAAACGAGAGAGTTATAAATGATAAATTAAGGGTTATCATAAATGATATAATAGGGTTATTATGATATAATAGGACTATTTTAGATGATATAATAGGGTTATTATAAAATGATAGGGTAATTATTAATCAAAGGCTTATTATAAATGATGGGGTAATTGTAAAGGATGGGGCTATGAATGATAGGGTTATTATGAATGGTATGGTAATTATAAATAAATGGGTTATAACTGATAGCGTTATTATAAATGATATATTAATATGAATGATAGGGTAATTAAGTAATCTTACCCGAGTGCGAGAGGTATAATGGCTAAAGGTGCAACAACATAAAATATCATATCATCAGATAAATACCACGACCATAACATACACTGAAATATTAATACAAAATATTGTAGTATCAGATAAATACCACGACCATAATATACATTGAAATATAATCCAAAATATCAGACAAATAACACAACATTTCTTTTCGTTTTTATACGCCCACATGGAAATGTGGTCGTATATTGCTGTCACCCCCGTCCGTCCGATCAGTATGAAATTTAAATGGACCATTTAATTAGTGAAACGAAGAAGCCTATTGAATTTCAACAACTTCTGTTAATTACGACGCCTTTGTTTCCGTTTGTCGAACCATGTAAACGCTTCAACGACAAAAGTTATCCGATCAGTATGAAATTTTCAAATTGGTGAAAAAAACCTATTGAATTTCAGCCATTTCCGTTCACTACTTCTAGAGTTATGGTCCTTGTTTCACTTTCTTGAACCTTGTGAACATTCGAACGACAAAATTTATTTGGTCTGTATGAAATTCATCTGCATCATTTACCTTACCAAGAAGCCTACTGAATTTCAGCAATTTCCATCAATTAGTTCTAAAGTTATGGCCCTTTTTTCACTTTGTTGAACATATTGAACGCTCTAACGACAAAAATTATATGCGTAATTTATATTAGTGAAATGAAGAAGCTTATTAAAGTTTATGTGTATGAAGTTTATATTTATTATTTAAATTAGTAAAACGAAAAGTCAAATCTCGAAAATTTCTGTAAATTACTTCCAGATTTAAGTCCCTTGTTTCAGTTTGTAGAACCTTTTGAACCCTCAAACGACGATCATAATAATCTGATCTGTATGAAATGATCTTGTAAATAACCCCAAATTACGTACAGAAGAATAAATATGCGGCAACCCTTGTCGAAAGCCGACTTAGCTGCTGTTTGCGTATGTTTCGTTGTCTGACAACCTATATTTCATACTTTCGATAGCCTCCACTACATAATGATCTGAGGTCTTGGGAAGTCGCGTCAGCTATCATACGAGCGGCTATCGACCCTATGCCGTCAATCATTCGATTAACCAACCAGTGCGGTATTTCCAGTGACTATTCGGAAATACAACTTTTGCATTTATTTGTGTTCTACCCCAACGAGGGTTATTTAACAACTCTTCCAGGTCCTGTATAATGTAATGAAGACATGTAAAACGAAATTTTGAACTGTAAAAAACGAAACGAAATAGGGTATGTGTTTTCAGCCTATAAAACAGGTATTTATTTTTTAAATAATTTATATCATGTAGTCACTTCAGTGGGCCATAGTCCAGTGTATAATACATTCGGTGCAAGTAATAAAAGAAACTTACAATTTCTCTTTCTGGGAAGAGTACATTTATATAGAGTATGTTTCTCCACCAATATGTTTTACAGTTATCTCTATATAGTACATCAGGTTTATCAAAGGGACCACTGGCTATATATCGACTTAAAAATCCAAAGAACAGCAACACCAACATATAAAGGGGTGTCAACCTATAAATATGGATATATCAATGGTGAATGCCATACGGGATAAACGTTTGTATCTATTCAATATAAATTGGGTATCTTGAAAACGATTAATTATTGAAAATCGGTAGAGCAACCCCTTCCCTCGCCAATACAGTCTTTGCAATACAGATTAAGACTCCGCAGAATACTTTAAGATACAACATAGGTATGGTATGAAATTGATATTAAAATCTACTGAGATATACATTAAATATGCAAAGCGTGAAATTGGTAGCAGTTTGAATAGAGTAATAATAAGAATATCTTGCGTGATTATAAACATAATGGCTTACCTCCAAAATCGATGGAAATAGTACATGAACATCTGCATGCATCGAATTCTTTTAGTTTTGCTAATTTCTTTAATAAATAAATATGAAACCAGCAAACCACTATAAAGATAAATAAAATATAGTTACCTTCTATCTAAAAACTGAATGATATTTAAGCTAACAACATACCGTTTGGTGAATATAACGCCCCCACCCGCCACTGTTGGAATGCTGTTGTATAAAACGGTTATCCGGATAAAAAAAAGTAATACTACCTGAGAACAAAGAAAGTGTCAACTGCAAGGGGTGCATTTAACATAGGTTGAAAGGAAAACGTCTTTATAACATCTAAAGCTTCTGTAGGGTTTTCTGAAAAAAATTAAACCACGAATGATATTTAATTGTATTGATTCTTCGTCATGGATACAGTTATTTTTAAAACACCCCTTAAAAATATTAAAGAAAATACATATAAAATTCACTTTATATGATTACATTTGTTTGTAATATGTTGTTTAATAATGATAACACTTCTACAATATAGGAACAATATACACTAGTATCTTACCTAATGTATCACTATAAGTTGTTAGTACATGTCCAAGAATAATCCATGCCATACTTATAACTCGGATTCCGTTTAGACACGTTAAACTTCCCTTTGGAGGAGTAGCGTTTAATATTTTTCTCCCGTTTTCTCTAATTGAAAATGCCATTAAAAAGCTGTTACCCGGTGCAAGTTCTGAAATAAAATAAACCATATTTGTGATTTTACAATCTTACACAATGCACAATATAACATATAAAGGATGAGTTTTTTTTAATAAAAAATGCAAATGATATAAATTTCAATTGGCAAAATTAAATTATACTAAATAAAACCAATTTTAAAAGGGGATTTGTCAAACGAGAAGAATTCAACAAAATACCTGCTTGTTTTGTTGGTATGTTTTCGATGTGGTGTGCATTATTTTTTTCAATATCTTCATGTATATCTTTGCCAATATCCCCATTTATATCTTTTTCCACACCATTTTCGGCAAACTTTGTCAAAGCTATTACTGGTCCAACATGTCCGTTTTTTTCACTGGGCGTCAATTCATAGGCTTCACCATCTGTATCTTTCCTCAATTGCCGAACTATGTCATATAGTGTACCAATAACGAGCAGGAATATTAAAATTGCAAATATTACTCTGGAAAAGTACACATATTTCATTTATTCAATCAAATAATACATGATTTTAAGATTTAATTATGGAAAATGTATTCAAAATCGACTGTAGCTCGCTACAATTAGAAATAAACATTCTTATTAAAATCATTAGTTATAGTCTTCATTAATCAACATAGAAATTTAGCATCCTAAAATAAGCACTAAGTTATCATTGATTATCAATATCACAGAAAAATCATTGATTAAAATTAAAATTAAAATTCTTAAGAAATCAGCACTAAGTTATCATTCATTTTCGATATCAAAGAAAAGGTAAGCTAACCCTAGTAGTTAGTTATCATTGATTAACACAGAACATCAATATATTTTATCAAAATTAACCGTCTTGTTAAAATCAGTGGTTAGTTATCATTAATTACAATAGAAAATTCTCATGTAAAAAAAATCTAAATTATTATTATTAATATCCCCAGTTAGTTATCATGCATTAAAAACGAAATCAACATCCTTATTACAATCAATATCAACACACTTAATTCTTCCTAAATCTAGCATTTATTTCCCCAATGACACGGTAGCGGACAACCAGAAGCAACTTACATAGCTACGTAGGCCCCGGTGTCACCCTCCATTGATTTGTCTTCGACGCACCGTAATTTTGACAGACCAACTTTAAATAAACTGACTAAAGCTGAAAAATAAAAGTTTACTTTCACAGTGTGTATCACGCCATTGGCATATAAATAATGGCGGGGGTCATGTACTAGGTATTCTTCACGTGTATTTAGTAAAGTCAGATAGCAAACAACGTATTTTAATACTAAGTCAGTTATACAAATTAACTAATGACTCTGATGGTTGCCACGCCACATTGCTCAACTTCTAAATATGTGAAGTATGCTCAGAGTTCGAAGTCAACATTAAACTTAATCAAGTCATATATGGCAAATTGTTGATTCCATAAACTTCCAATACATCCATCGGACCCCTGATACGACATTTTGCCCAGCAGCGAAGTAGATATAGATAACATTTACAGGTTGCACTTCTTTAGTATGTGGAGATAATTTCCAGGGTTCAACTCCAGTCGATTCGTGTACTAGAGTATAAGACTCTTCAAATCAATATTTGAATCTCGGGACGATTGTGTTGATTGTGGGTTGTCATTGATAATAGAAATTCTTTATATTTTTAAACTATTGATCTTACTTGTATTAACAACGGCATTTATCTTTTCTGCTGAACACGATTTTGGCAAACACAGATCCAATCTTAAATCATGCGACACACCCTCTATATGCTGAAAACAACAGTTAGAAAATTTACCCTTTGATTTTTTTGATGCTTTTGATTTATGATAACTGTCCCGGTTCAACCTGATTAAAACACAGATCTATTTCGTGTCGTCTTTTAATGCTTTCGAAGTAAAACGAAATTTAGAACTATGAATAAACTAAACGAAAATATTTTTGTCTTTTAATATTTCTTTTATTACTCAACCAATTGTTTCAGTTTTGTATGATAATTAATATTAGATGTTTATCTAGAATTTGGGTTACGTGTGTTGCCTTATTTCCCGAATAAAAGTGGCTATGTTCAAATTACTTACATTAGCACCACCCGCTACTTGATTAAAGAGTTGTGCGGGTATTTCTACAGAAAACTCACAATAACCACCTTCAATACGATGATCACCAGCCACAAGATGATCAATCTCTGTACACTCGTCATAGTTGCCCATAAACACCAGATTACCCTTCAATATACCTCGCTGTGGTTTACCACTAGCATCAATAACTACAATTTAAAGGACCCATTGATTACTGTCCAATTTCAGAATTTATAAAATCTATTTTAATCAATTTATTCAAAACTTATTACAAATTTAGAATTCCTTAAGGTAAATAGAGCAAGGTATGTTTACTCTGTCGATGCTGTTGCCATAGGTGTCAAGATATTTCCCTACAAAAGATATGCAATTTCCATTAACTTAAATGGGTAGAAGATTCAGTGTTCCAGAATAACCTAATGCTAATAGGTATACACGTATTAACAAAACTTTACATAGTCTAATATTAAAAAGAAAGACTTACATTTCAGTGCCCATTCCTCTAAGCCCATTAAACCTTTCGCAGCGACAATTGCATCTAAAGTACAGGTGTCTGCCGCTGCTATAGAAGGGGCAACTTGACTAAATAATTTCTGGGCGACATTTTGAATATCGCCAGCATGCGATACCAAACCTTTAATTGTTGACAAAAACTCGCCGAAAGTCTTCATTTTTCCCGAATGTAAATCATCCAAATATCCACCCACAGCCGTTCCTTTGAACAAATCCAATATTGCTGATGGAATGAATAATGCTGGTAGCTGTACAGAGTTATTTTGTCCAAGAATAAACTTGACCAAATTAGTCACAGTGGGTAGATTACTGCCAAGCAATTGTCCTAAAAATGTCTGTCCCAAAGCTGAATTTTGTACAACAAAAGCAGCTAGTTGAATTACCAAATCTGGCTGGCTCAGTATTTTGGTAGTTACTCCATTAGCAAACATAGGATGCTGTAGAGCTAAACCAATAACCTCTTCGGCCAACATGGGTTCTTTGGCCAAAACGCCTACAACACTTTTCAGCATATCTGCACTACTTAATAACAATTTCTGAGCACTATCAGTAAAATTTTGATCTTCTAGTGCAAGACTAAATATATAATTTGGTAAGATCGGCGAGCGGAGCACAACTTCCAACGTGGGTAGAACATTGTTCAGATTAGACATCAATGCCAGCATAACGTTATCAGAAGATACGGATAAATTTGCAAATAGCGCCAATCCAGTATCCACCACCGACATATCCTTTCCAATAATCTGATTTATAAACATATCAACAGTTTGTGGATTAAGTAAAATCTCCTTTACTAATGTTGAAAATAAGACAGGCGATTTCTGAAGAGATAGCTTAAGACCATCAATAGCCGCAGCAGCAATGTTCTGATTTTTTGATAACAAATTAAAGAGTTTGCGGGTAATTTCTGCTGATCGAAGCGTTTTGCCAAGGCATAATGTTACTGATTCAGGTGTAGAGAACGCCGGTACCAAAAGCGATTTCGCAAGAGCAGGATATGTGAAAAGCTCATCCATCATCAGGGAAGCATAGTCAGGGTGATCTAAAACCTTTTCCAGCAGCCTTACCGGAGTTCTTGGGTCTATGGTTAAAATGGTCGGTAACAGTTTATAATAGATATTGTTCTTGTCGCCCGTTATATTCACTAGATAGGACAGAGAATCATTAGTGAGACTCCCGTTGCTTGTTAGTTGATCAATAACACCATAAATATCTACGGGTTTTTCAGGTTTGCTTGTAACTGTAGTGTTCATTGGACTTTTAGTCGGTGGTGGGGTGTTGATAATTGCCATAGACTGTATGGCTAGTGGTGGTGAAGTGCTATGGACATCTGCTTTAGGGTTTGTTGATTTTGTGGTAACGATCGACGATGTACTAGTTAAGATTACTGTTGTTGAAACATCTGCAGCTGTTGATCCTCCCAGTGATGGTGTGGGTATAGACGTAGTCGGATCTGCAGCTAGAGTGGCATGCAGACCAAACAATACACTCACCACAAGCAGGGACGTAGTTTTCTTTTCACCCATTTTTATAATTGGGTAAAAGAAAACAGACTCTGTATAAAAAAAAGAATAAATAGATTTTAGAGGTTATTTAAAAGATAAGGCATTGCTCTTTATGCATAAAAGTTCTAGTATCAAAGACACGATAACATAAATTACTATTATGGGGGAAGGGTTAAATTTTAATATATTGTACAAACACATCAGGACAATGCTAATAATTTGTGAGTAAAATGGTAGAGACACAATCAAAGCTTCCAAGGTAAGAACAGTAATTGTGTTATATTTAAGGAATATGTATGGCCTATATAATGAGTATGCATAGGCTAATTATTCGTGTAGGTATGTGGTTATGGTATGTACTTTTTGCACTGTGGCAGATGCAGTACAAGGACTAAGTGCAATGGTTAGGAAACCCCCACAATAAATCATAGACACAGAGTTTTGTAGTACGCATAAATAAGAAATCCAATGGGGTTTAACGTCCTACTGTTTTACACCGACTGGTCTAAATGACGACAGACATAGCAATGTGCTATGAGGGAAATTTTACCCGGACAGCGGTGATACGGCATACTCTTATTTCGAATTCAAACTGTCAATGGTTCGTTCAATTCGAACTCCATTTAATTGTTATTGATTTTTTTTATCATGCTACGCCTCATTTTTCGAATCCGAGTTCATAAATTCATAATCTATTTGTATGTACATGCTTTTGAATTTTAAATTCTGCGCAAACAGAATTCTTGAGCAAAATGCAAGACAAGTCGGCTAGAAAAAGTTCAGCAAACCTTCAGGCAAATGACTCTGTAATTCAAGAAAGCCATTGTTTAGGTGTTTTTTGGCGATTCAAATAATCTGAAGTTATTTTATTGTATAGAACTAATTACATTTATTTTCTCGTTGAATGTCTGCTGAAGACTTTTAGATACGATCGTCTGAATATCTATGTCTTAGACTCCATAAGAATTTAAATTTTATAGATCATTATAATACTTTGGTCCTTAAGACAATTTTGGTTCTTTGAAAAATTGTTATTCGCCCAAATCACACGTACTTAATGAACGTGAATATATAGTTATACATAAAAAAAACAGTGATATTTTGGTAAAATTATAACCATAGTCAAGATATCCATCAAATTCTGGCTGTTAATTGACCTATGGTTGGTAGACCAAATAAGGTAATGTCTCCTCCTTTAGTCGTGTGAAATAAAGAGGTTTATTCCATATTTGGGATGGATATTAACTTCAAGGTTATCCAAGACTTGCAGAAATTAGGGGGTATAAATTAGGGTGTAGAGCGAGATGGATCAGAGCTCATTCAGATATTCTAAGCAGTCATTATTATTGAGAACGATGAACCTTCAAAGCCATTACAGCTTAACAATAAAGTTGTAAACCCATTGATGCTGTAGTGTTATTACGATCACGAAGAAACAAGCATAACAAGAAAAGAAGTCCGATAGTACCACATCATTTCAAATAAGGATTTACCTGTTATTGTTATAAATCCAGGAGAAGCTAGGCTGTACCGCCGATCCTACTAAAGTTAAGACAGAAACAAGTTTGATCAGCCCATGTCTTATCACCTCATGATGATTTTATAAAAATTGTTATCTTGGAGTATTTCACGTTATCACTCATCATACGTGAACATATTACAACTTGTTGATGGCCTTGTCTTTTTAAGTAGATTTGTATACGCTACTTACCCCAACAATTGTAAAATGTACCGATGTGGTGTGACCGTCCATACGGCTGGCGGGGTTATTTTATAGCACTTTGATCCGCTAGAAATTGATATGTCATCGTGAAAGTCCCCTTCTCGACAGTTACAATTTCACTACAAATCTGTAAGTATCGGCATCACACTTGATAAATGTCAGACAATGACTTCTTTTAAAAATGTCCCGATTTTCTGTCTTTCAATATTAGTAGTGGGTATTGTCTTCCCCGAGTGCATTTCTAAACTTTTTATAAAAAAATAGGGGGTACGTGCCAAGGGAACTACTTGATCTGGTAAAGTTTAATTACCTTTACACTGATTTGTAGGATGTAATTGAGAGTGGCTTGGTGTCTTGTTTGCAATATGTACAGGTTATTGTACTTGTGGTAGGTGCCGTACACGAGGCAAACATGCCTACTCTCTTAGAATACGTGATACGCATGGGAACTACTTTTAATTTCTTCAATTGTATCTATACGAAGTTTGAGTTTGATTTCCGTTCAGGATCGAAGGTACATTATTTAATTGGTACCACCTTAAATTGTGAATGCATTGTTGTTTCTTTGATTAGGGAACGACCCCAAGAACATGATCAAGATTTCAATGACAAATTCCTTACCTCAACACAGACTTGAACGAAAGCGAAAACGTTTGCAATTATTTTACATACTGCTGTTGTAGCCAATATTTAAATATCCCGGATGAATTTAGCTCCACTACAGGGAAATAATTTTCACGATAGGTTTCCTTTTGTTGAATCTCACCAGTTTATTCAAGGCTACGCAGGCGTGAAATGCAAGACGTAGAACTCAAACAGTGTGGATTACGAGCAGTGTACGACATGACGATTATGCACGATTGCTTGTATATATAAAAAATTGTCGAGGTTTGCGCAAGATGGAAGAGCACTCTTGCACACTTGTTCTCGTTTTATGTATAATATTGCTTTACGAGCATCCAACCGCGTGAGTTTTCTCCGGGTCCTCCGGTTTCCTCCCACAGCTAAAGACCCCTACGCGCAAGCAGATTATTGAAATAAAATTGAACAATATATGAAAGTTCCGAAATGACCTAGTTTGTGTCGAGTGGACGTTAAACCCTCTCTCTCTCTCTCTCTCTCTCTCGCCCTCTCTCTCTCTCTCGCTCTCTCTCTCTCTCGCTTTAAAAGCATCATGCACCATATTTTAAGATAGCTACAAACTCGTTTTGTTAGAGATATCGCAGGTGTCAAAGGTGTGTGTCAACAGCTTTCGCTCCTTGTCTTTTAGATAATTAAAACTGATAAACTATTATTATTCACCTTCAGTACACTATTCATGAAGATTGTATCAACATAAACAAGTTTCTTGAGTTGATGATAAAACTTATTTGTAAATACCTGTGTAGTGTGATAATAACAACCATTTCCAAACAGGAAATTTGTCGCCTCAACCAACGACAAGCGTCGCATTCGGCTTCTGACATCTAGATTCAAACTACCAAACCAGTAAGCAATATGTTGTAGCAGGAGTGGTGTACAGCGCAAACAGCTAAATGATATGTTATTCGTAATGCAAACATTTCGATATAGACAAGTTTGAATTCTTTTTTTAATTCCATATTAAGAAATCTTACATTATTTAAATTATTCTTAAGTATTATCTAAATATATTCTCTAATGAAGAAGATCAGAAACAGATCTAAATATTCTCATAGATATTGTTAGAAATTCAAATACAGATTATCCGTCTTATTTAACAAAGATATACGAAAGCCCAGAAGGCTCATTCCAAATTCCAAATGCGAAATTCCAAATTCCAAATTCATGTCTTACCAATGAAATGAATAAAATAGCAAATTGGCAGCCCGCCCCCCCTCAATTAAACAAATTAGAATTTAAATAAATTGTAATTTTACACAACTAATTAGTGCTAGTTTACCTATCTGATGCATGGGCCCTACGAAAGCCCAGAAGA